GGCGGTGCCCAGGCGCACGGCTGAGCCCGCCCCAGGGCACGGGACTCCGCGGCCGCCTCACCTGGTCAGCCCGGCGCCGCCGCCGGGGTGGGCGGATACGGCTCGGCTTGGCGGCCAGCTTTCAAAGGACCGGGAGGCGCCTCCCCGCTGCCCACCACACAGCCCTCGCGGCACACGCAGGGACTGCCCAACCCTCGTCCCTTCGGGCGAGCCCACCTGGACACACACCAAGGCCATCTTCATCGTCAGCTGCCTGTACCTCCTGAAAGAGGCTCAGAGAACAGCTCTCTGCGGAGCAAAGAAGAGGGGCTGGAGGGGGTGGCAAGCACACGGGAGAAAAGGACACCCCCTCCCCCAGGTCCAGAAGGTTGGGATGGCCAGAGCTGACCTACAGAGCACAGACCTCCTTCAAAAGCATGTAGAATTAGCATATGATTTGGCAATTCCACTCCAGGGTGTATCACCCAAAATAATTGAAAGCAGGGACTCAGACACGCCCCCAGGTCCAGAAGGTTGGGATGGCCAGAGCTGACCTACAGAGCACAGACCTCCTTCAAAAGCATGTAGGAGGATTCCTCAAAAAGTTAAATGTAGAATTAGCATATGATTTGGCAATTCCACTCCAGGGTGTATCACCCAAAATAATTGAAAGCAGGGACTCAGACACGTGCACACCACTGTTCATCACAGCATGTTCACAATGGCCAAAAGGCAGAAACAACCGAAATGCCCATCAGCTGATGAACGGATAAACAAAATGAATGGATAAACGTGTGGTATGTACATGCAATAGGATATCATCTAGTCTTAAAGGGGAATGAGGTATAACAAGGGTGGGCGACGATGTGGACAAATTAAAATCCTTGTGCACTCTTGGTGGGAATGTAAAATGGTGCAGCCACTGTGGAAATCAGTGTGGGGTTTCCTCAAAAAATTAAAAAATAGAATTACCATATGATCTAGCATTTCCACTTCTGGGCATATACTTACAAATGCCCATCAGCTGATGAACGGATAAACAAAATGAACGGATAAACAAAATGAATGGATAAACGTGTGGTATATACATACAATAGGATATCATCTAGTCTTAAAGGGAAATGAGGTATAACAAGTGTTGGTGACGATGTGGACAAATTAAAATCCTTGTGCACTCTTGGTGGGAATGTAAAATGGTGCAGCCACTGTGGAAATCAGTGTGGGGTTTCCACAAAAAATTAAAAAATAGAATTACCATATGATCTAGCATTTCCACTTCTGGGCATATACTTAAAAGAATTGAAAGTAGGATCTCAAAGAGAGGTGTGTATATCCATGTTCACAGCAGCATTGAAGCAGCTCAAGTGTTCATTGATGGATGAATGAATAAACACCCCCCCCGCCCCCCAAACACACACACACACTGGAATATTATTCAGTCCTAAGAAGGAAGGAAAGCCAGTCACAAAAAGACAAATACTCTATGATTCCACTTATACGAGGTAGCTAGAATAGTCAANTGCGGAGCAAAGAAGAGGGGCTGGAGGGGGTGGCAAGCACACGGGAGAAAAGGACACCCCCTCCCCCAGGTCCAGAAGGTTGGGATGGCCAGAGCTGACCTACAGAGCACAGACCTCCTTCAAAAGCATGTAGAATTAGCATATGATT